GGTAAGAAATTGGTGTCCTATGTCAAATGCCGACAAAACATAATTTTGACTCAACCTTTATGGGAGTATAATATTAAAGTGACGCTTAAATACACAGGATGTAACAATGTGGATTGGATTCGTCTGGCTTTGGAAACAATCCAGTGGCGAACTCTTGTAAACACTGGAATGATCTTTCAAAGCGGGTAATTCTCGTAATATTAGATTCTCAAGGTGGGATCTGCGCGGTGGAGTAATTTACACGGTATGTAAAGGGACGAGTGTACATCAGCTCCTGTTCTAGAGAGAGATATAAGGGTAAGCCCAGTGGTAGAGGGGAGCCAAGTGACTTTCGCCATCTTCCGTGTCCCACTTGGCACTCGAGCCAAGTCCAGGCCGTACATTCGCTGATGCCAGAAATCAACTTACGTTCCTTTCCAAGTAATTAGCAATGTTCATTTGTAACGGCCAGTGATTTATTGGCCCTTGAAGGCTTATGTAATTTTTAAGAATCGTAAGTAACTCTCATGGCAGGAAAGTAAGCTAGCAAATTTAATTTGTCATTCGCGAATATTTATAGTTTTGTCTTGTACCCTGAAATTAACTCCGATCAGCGTTATAGAAGATATCCACATTAATTACTTCCTCCGTAATGTAAGTACACAATTTGATATCATAAAATGGTTTTAGTTTGTTTTTGTTAGTTATGCGTGTTGTCGTCTTTAATACTTTATTTATGCACTGCGTGATTCTATATATCTTATGGAATTTGCTTCACTTTCTGTGATAAACCTCATTTACCCATCTGAGTTTTGCGTTGCATTTCTGTTTTATAATCAAGTCGGTCTGTAATCATAGCAGGACCCCATATGCCATTTGACTTAGACTATTATAGAATTAAATATCAAGTTTCTATTTTAAGTCGATAGGCCGTGGTCTAGGCAACACGGAGTTTTCCTCCGGGGGTTTCCCCGGTTTCTCCGTGGCATCCCAACAATTACTCCATTCACACACAGAAGAAGGCAATGGCAAACCACTTCTGGATCATCTGCCAAGAACGTATATGAACAGGTCCCAGTCCGAGAAAAGGATGGAAGGATCCTGTTCATATGGACCTGTCGTCAGACAGAACACTAAATACGAAAAATAAATTAGGATCTCCTTCATCCTTAGGAATCACGCAGTCAAAACTTCGGAATTTTCAACCAACTTCTATCAGAACAGCTTATGTTTCATCATAAATACTCTCAGAAGAAGAAATCGCAATATTTGTGCGAGCTGAAGCAGGATTCTGGCACAAGCGATCTGATCCATGCATTCTTAATTCTGTTAAAAAATCGTTTCAGTCTGGTTGCTATGGAAATCCATTCATAGCAACCAGCCACATTATCCGAAAGTTCTGCAGGACGGTCTGGATGCAAACAGTTCATTTAATCAGTTTTTTTTAAAAAATCTCCAGAAATGAATTTCAACCGAGATCTTTCACTGCGATTCAAATTAACATATGCGTCCAAATTAGCCTGTTTTATTAGCGGTAAGGACTTATATACGGAATCGATGTCTTTCTTTCCTGCACATAACTCACACTACACCCACTGGTTATTAGAGCGTGCAGCATATCGAGATAACTTACAACGATAACAAACGTTACCGATATTCAGCGATGCGTTTCGATACTATCGATCACGTGCAGCGAATTTATTAAAATAAAAATGATATTTTTTCACCAATTCATTTATGCCATTAGTGAAAATAATTCGTGAAATTACACGTGAAGTTCTTTCACCCTTCCACCTGCCTTGGTTTCCCCGCCTGTGGTTAGAAACTTAAGCGATCATAACTGATACTCTTATAATTCATATGATCGATCTATTTTCGATTGTGTTCAGTTGCTTAGCAACCGTTAAATGCATAAAGATATCAATATTCAGCACTATGGCAAATTCCAAGTGCTTATTTTCTGGAGTGAGGGACTTGACGTCATAATACACTCATTTTTAATATTAGCATACGAATAAATTTCAATAGGGTTATTAAGTAAAACCACATGCTGTGAACAGAGACACATTATTATTTATTATTAGTGTTCTGTCTGACGACAGGTCCATATGAACAGGATCCTTCCATCCTTTTCTCGGACTGGGACCTGTTCATATACGTTCTTGGCAGATGATCCAGAAGTGGTTTGCCTTTGCCTTCTTCTGTGTGTGAATGGAGTAATTGTTGGGATGCCACGGAGAAACCGGGGAAGCCCCGGAGGAAAACTCCGTGTTGCCTAGACCACGGTCTTGCCCAACACAAGTTAAAAATTCGGGCACCGCCGGGAATCGAACCCGAGACCCCAGGATTACAAGGCTAGTGTTCTGACTACTAGACCACCATGGCGGTATAGAGACACATATGCATTAATAAATTAATAAAATAATTGAAGTACATTCAATGTAGGCTATTTCTACGCAATTTCGTGCCTACTGAAGGTCTTTGACCCAATAATATTTTCATTTTAATCCTCAGTTTACTAGAGTAACCTCTACTTTGTATGATGTTGAAATGTGATTGAAATGTTCAAACCTTTAGCAAGTTCGTGTATTTGTACTGAAATATGACATTAAGGTTGTCGTGAATGTAGAGAGGAAATTGCTAAGTGATTTGCCTCAGTACCTTGAAAGGCTCTGAATGTAGTGTATGCACGTTCCTTGCTTAAATTACACACAAAGCGTCATCTCCCCATCAACGATGTGCTAATTTGCGTCAATCATTTTAACACATTACAGACCACGACGTAATAATATTCACTGTTTTCTCATGTATTCTACTTCGTCCTAAAGGCATGAAATGTTCGCGCTAACAATCGAAACACGCAATCCGTAATCTTGTTCGCTGATGGAGATTAAAGCGTGTTTGTGAACCGTAATATTCCCACAGCAGGGGAGTCCAGGCAACTGTCTCTTTATCATTAACGGCTTTAATTTGTACAAAAAACTAACAAATTTACCATTTCAGCGGTGGGTGTAAGTTTTCAACGCGGCAGAAAATTGTATTATTGCGCCAACAATGTACACGAAATTACCAGAACTTCAACTGACCAAACGAAAAAAAGACATTTTCCCTCTCAACAATTACTGAATTAAAGTTAAACTTGCCTCTTTAAAACACAATGGTAAATAATTCAACTATAAATTTTGCCCACAGAGCGTATTTATAAGTTCTTTGCGATTCTCAGAATAAACAATTAACAAACAGCCCATTTTATTACAATTCGTACTCTTGACATCTGGTCCAACTAAACTGGCAATTAAGATAGTCTGGTATAAAATGATCGACGTTTCAGGAACTTCTTCAGTCATTAAGTTTATCTGAAACGTCGATAAATCTGTACGAGAGTACGCGGTGCAACAACACAGAAGACGGCCATCTTCAAGCTAACAGTTTCTAAGCTAGTCAAGAAATGCCCCACCTTCGTGTTTTTAGTTTAAAGAGCTTCATTTTATTTGTTTGTTTTAACGTCTTCATTCTGATGTAAAGGTTCGTACAGAATTACTCAGTCCTTTCGTAACCTAAATTACATACATTTCATTATCATCATATTAATCATCGTCACCTCCTTCGCGCATGTGATCTCGTGATTAGCGGTTTCTACTTCGAGTCTCGTCCGAATCAGAAACGAGTTTAGGATAAACGGTTTTAGGATAAACTGGATTATGATAAACTGGTTTAGGATAAACGGGGTTATGATAAACGGGTTTAGGATAAATTGGATTATGGTAAACGGGTTTAGGATAAATTGGATTATGATTAACGGGTTTAGGATAAATAGGTTTCATGGCATATCTGCTAGGTTCCTGGGTACGTGTGGCAGTTAACGCTTTGCTGATGACGTAATAATTTATGAG